TTTAGTGCAGACACTTATGGAGTTAGGTTGACCTATGCTGCCTTACATAGACCTGCCTGTAGTGTAGACCAGGCCTGTGTGTCTGTGCAGCGCCTAGCGTGACGGGGCCCTGATCTCGGTCACTGTGGGTCTGGGCAGCGCCCGGCGCGACGGGGCCCTGATCTCGGTCACTGTGTGTCTGGGCAGTGCCCGGCTCGACGGGGCCCTGATCTCGGTCACTGTGGGTCTGGGCAGCGCCCGGCCTGACGGGGCCCTGATCTTGGTCACTGTGTGTCTGGGCAGCGCCCGGCGCGACGGGGCCCTGATCTCGGTCGCTGTGTGTCTGGGCGGCGTCCGGCCCGACAGGGCCCTGATCTCAGTCCCTGTGCGTCTGGGCAGCGTCCGACGCGACGAGGCCCCAATTTCGGTCACTGCGTGTCTGGGCAGCGCCCGGCGCGACAGGGCCCTCGTGTCAGTTGGGATCTCCAGGTGCTACTATAATTTAATTAATAAGGTTTATGCACCTGTTGGGTAGCCTTGAGCCAGTCCCTTCCCCCTCTGTGCCTCAGCCTCCCCATCTGTAAAATGGGGATAGTGACCCTGGCCGTCACTGAGAAGTGCTAGGGCCAGTTGTTTTGGCATCAGTGCTGTCTGGCCCTCTGGCCCAAGGCTCATTTCTGACCTTGCCAGATCTTCTTCCATCGCTGGACTGAATCCGCCTCTCCCAGAGGCACTACCTGGGTTAACAGAAGAATTCTTTCATCAACCTAGCGCTGTCTACACTGGAGCTTAGGGCAGTTTAACTACAGCACTCAAGGGTATGAGTTTTTCACACCCCTGACCGACGCAGCTGGGTCGACCCGCCGTTCTAGTGTAGAGCAGCCCTCAGGCCCTCTGCAGACTCAGTCAGTGTTGGTCACACCCAGGGCAGCTCCCCCTTCTCAGAGCGACGGGCTCAGGCTGGCTGCAGACTCAGGCAGCGTCGCTGTGTCGCTCACACCAGGCCAGGGTTGGAAGGTTTTCTTTGCAACGCTGAAGGTAGGAAACTTCCTCTTTGCAGTGCAAGCCGAGATTCTACGTCACACCAGCCCCAGGGCCGGATCCAGACTGCACGTCATATGGACACCTCCGTGCCAGAGGGATGGTGGAAGATCATCCTAAAATTGTCAGTGCAGAGGCTGCCTGGGACTTGAACGCCCCGTCGGTTTCTCTGCGTGTGTTCTCAGCAGCACCATGGAGAGGCGCAGTGTTTATTACTGCAGTGAAGCCTGGTGGCTCTAAATCTGTTAGAAACAGGGCTTGTCAAAATTCTCTTTTCTAAGTAACTTGAACGGATCAGACAGATTTAAGCATTTTTAAAGATTTGGATCAATTGAAATGTGCAGTTGCAGGACGTTATGGGGGGACTGTCAGATTGAACGACGGTAGATGCTGAGATTCAAGAAGTTAAATCGATCTAATGGCATCCCGCTAACACGGGCATTACAGCGTGTTTTAGCACGTTAAGGTGGGACTCAAGTTCTCAAGCAGAATTTTTCGAGTTGCCTTTAAACTTCAATTTTCATCCGTGCAAATGGTTTTTCGTGGGTACACGGAAATCAACGCTTCCTGACATTACTGATAAAAATCTAACCCTTCCAAGCCCAGCCATAAGCCAGGTTTAGACTCTAAAACCCATCAGATCTCGCAACCCCGACACGCTGCTCCCACAGCCCCTTCACTTAGTGCCTTTCATTGGAAAAGGCTTTGCAAAATCTCCTGCCTGTACGGCCTTCAATAATCAGGAGTCACTGCAACCCAGCACCAAAATGCAGCCAACTCTAAGGTGGGACAAGGCAGGTATATAACAAGCACATGACACCGTGGTTTAGGACAGGAAGTGAAGAATACCAGATCTGAAGCTGCAAGGGGAGTTTAAAGAGGTAGGATGGAATCACCCTGGTTAGTAATTGGTCCGGTGACAGGGGCTGACGCCCTGCATTGTGCAAGGAGAGAGAGAGATCTTTACCTTTAAACGGCTCTGTACGCCCTCAATCTCGGTGTCTCTGGTTATGACTAATTTTGTCTCCAAACTTTTTGTGAAAAATACTTCACAATTCTCAGAGCATCCCACAGCAGCGTTCTCCTGGTGAAAAGTTCCTTTTTTTGGTTCAAACTGACTTTGCATTTAAGTGAATTTATCAGAAAAAATCTAAACCAGGGGCCTCCTTGCCTCCCCGTCTGCAAAGGGCTACCCCAACACAGCGGTCATGAGGATTAGCGGTCTGGGAAGCGTTTTGTAAATGTAGAGTCCTGTAGCATGGGTAAACAAAAATAATTTTCAAAGTAATTAAATGATCAACATGTTGCTTGACCTGAATGGAATTCCCCCCCCCCCCCCCCCAAATTTTTGTTTGGCAACATTTTTCAAAACTTCGACTTCTCTTCCTGATTTGGGACAGGGAAACCTCACAGATTTTCCCAGCCCAGACCTGTTTCCCACCCAGCGCTGAGAGTATGGTCTGTGGGATTGTTCTCTCCTGATTCTAACCACATCTCTTCCTACTCTCCAGCAACAAAGCCAAGCTGTTCGCAGCTGCTGCCCGCTGGCGGCAGCTAATCCGAGGCCGCTGATCAGGGGGGAAGCCGTGCAGATGCTAGAGAAGGGGTGGGCGGAGGGTGAAGCCCACCCTGAGGGAAGAGCCTAGAGGGCAAAGTACTAAAGCCAGCCACTGCAAGCGCCTCAGGAGCGGCTCACCCCCACTCCTCTAGCACCCAGGAGAGGTCTCGGGGATGGGTCACGCTGCGTGTGTATAGCCGGGAGCGTGTTGTTAATGCACCCGGGGAAGGACAAGGCTACCCTACATTCACCAGCGAGGCTGCAGCCCCCCCACGCTCGTTAGCCACCCCCCCCCCACTGCCTTCTCAGGCCCAGCCCAGCTCAGCCTGGCCCTCTCTAGCCACTGCTGCTCTGCGGTATTTGAAATATAGGAGGGGACAGACCACGGCCAGAAAGAAACCCGGTGATCACCCAGTCTGAGCTCCTGCAGACCCCAGGCCGGAGAACCCCAACCCAGCCATTCCAGCAGCCAGCCCATAGCTGGTGGTCGAGCTAGGGCAGAACTTGAGACGTGCTCAGTCATGCTGGAGAGAATCCAAGTGATGGAGAAATTCCCCTCCCCCCCCGGAGGAATTGCTCCAATGGTTAATCACCCTCATTATTAAAAATGTCCCCTCGGAATTTGTCTTATGTCAGCTCCCATCATTGGATCCCATTTTGCCTTTGTCCACTGGGTTGAGGAGCCGTCTACCCTCAGAAATCTTCTCCCCATGGAGTGCAGACAAACTGGGAAACCAAGTCACCTCCAAGTCCAACCCTTCCCTTGGCTAAACTAAATAGATCGAGCTTCTTTGGTGTCTCGCTAGGCGGCAGGTTTCTCAGTAACATGGAGCCACGCTAGAGGATGGTGGTTCAAAGCCTGCATCCCTGTCACAAAACCACAGCCCCGGGGGCTGACTCCCACTCCCACAGGACAGGCTGAAGGCTCACTGTGCTTTGGGCTCCAAGCCTTTAACTTTCACTAGCCCTCACCTCCTCTGCAGGCGGTTAAGCGGAACGAGAACTAGCCTGCTGTGTGTCACATCCCCTCTACTGTTCCCAGCTGGTGGCGATTCTCCTTTGGCTCAAGGGACGGGGCTTCGGTGGCATGAGCCAAGTTCCATCCCCACCATCGCTGGCGCAGGGTGGAGCAGAGGCATGGGAGGGGATCAGCAGCCGGCGGGAAGTTAGAAAGGTTTATTTACAACAGGGATCATCACACAACACAGCAAAGCAACAGCACGGGGGGGCATGGGGCGCACACGGGATCACAGCACAAACACCTGCCGCCCACCGGGGCACTGAGAGGAACCAGATACCGCTCAGGGGCCAGCACTGTGGATGCAGCTACTGGCTTGACCTTGGAGTGAAGGGACCAGATCCCATAGCAGACAGGGCTGCTGAGGCAGACTCTAACAGCTAAATGCCCAGTTGCTGAGCTGGTCTGAGGCTCCTCCAGGCCAATGAATCAGGCAGGGGGCTTAGAGCAGCTGAGGGACCAATGGCCAAAGGTCTGCCGAAGCCCCGGGTGCTGCCATGAAAGCAGATGAGGGGGAGCGCAGGGGACGCTCCCTCAGCCGCCGCGACGTGGGAGATTTCGCGCACCAGCATTAAAAGCCGTTCAAGCCACTGGAACGGCCAGAGACTGAACAGCTGGCTTGTTTCACTGCCTCCAGGCACGAGCCGGAGGTTGGTGCCTTTCCCCGCTGTCTCTCTCCCGGGGGCTCTGACCAGGGGATTGAGCGCAGGGCAGCCTGCCCGCCTAGGCAGGCAAACTGGCCGCAAGGCATCCTCCCCTCTCGGCTGCCCCGGTGGGACGTGGTTAGCTGGGAGCGGCTGGTGCAGGGAGAGGGCTTGGCAAGATCAGACCGTGCCACAGCTTCTGGGGTAGCCCCGTCTCGAGCTGGCTTGGCCTCCGTGTTAAGAGGCTGCCCCCTTCCCCCCCCCCACGGATCGCAGGATTCCAGCCTCCCGGAGGCTCTGCTGTGAGGTTGGAACAGCTGGGAAGCTGCCCGTGGGGGATGGTCAGGCTCCGAGGCCGAGGCTGCAGCTGTGAAGGGCTGGGATCCGCCCCGGGGTTTCAGCAGCCCAAGGGCGGGTCGAGGGGGCCCGGAGGATCCTCTCATCCCAGCTCGGCACTGTCGGCATTGAGAGGCCAAGGCCGGCCCAGGCTGCTAAAACTGAGCTAAACAGGAGAGAGAAGGGGGGGCTGGAAGAGGGTCCCATCAGCCTGTTGAGCTCAGAGTTCTCCATAGGACCCTCCACTCCACAGGCCCCCCCCTTCCCCGAGGGGTCAGAAATCCACAAGCCAAAGTGGGGCAGGCGCCCCCTAGCTGCCACCAATGTGAAGGGAGTCACTCCCAGGAGGAAGTGTCCCATGATCCTTTGCTCCTGGGCACTTGGGTACAACTACAAAGCCACCTGCCTTCTGTCCAGCCCGTGGGGATGGGAATTTCTGATGGGAACAAGTTAGGGAGGAACTAAGATCCTGAGCCCCCTCTCCCAAAGATCCACCTTGCTAATCTTCTATTGTCCAGCCTGGAGTAGAGCCCAGAGACAGCAGGGCAAAGAGTCCCTATGGGGGAGAGAGATCTTGGCTCGGCCCCATGGGAGCGGCAGGGAGGGCTCCAAGGCCTGGTCGCTTGGCCCCCCTCTCCAGGTCCCCCTGCGAGCAGCGTGGAGGGCTCCGAGCCTGGGCCACGTGCCCGCCCTCCCTCTCCCACACTCCGCTGGCTACGTCCTGGTGTCCAGGTTGTTCATGTACTCCTGCAGGGCCTGCAGCCGGGCGTCGATCTCGGACAGGTCGGCCGATGGCTCATCGTACAGGTTCTCTGTCGGAGGAGACGAGCATTCGTCGGCTGGGCCCTGCGATCGCCAGGCCAGCCCCGCACTCTAGTCCCCGGTCCCCTGGCCAGCCGGGACCACGAGCGCCACAGCCACAGGAGTGGGGAACTGCTCAACAGGGGACCTCTCTCCAGCCCTGTGAGCAGGATAAGAGAGCTCAAGGCCGGGCGGAGGGGAGCCAAGTCTGGAGAGGGAACTTCTGAGGGAGGAGAGGTTGAGGGGGGGAAGACAGGGCACGTGTGCAGGGATCGAAGAAACCATCATCTGCAGAGAACCTTGGGCTGCTCCAGGAGGATTTGCCTGGGGCTGAAATGCAGCCACCTCTGGGGCGGAGTGTGGCAGCTGTTTATATCGGGGGTGGGAGTGAAAGTAGCTTGTTCAGCGAAGCTCCAGGGCAAATGGAATTTGGCAGCACACGGGGGTTAGGAGCCAGGCTCATGGGAAAAGGGCCAGAGGCCTCAGTAACCGTGGTGGGGACAAACTGAGTGACATGAGGCATCCAGATGACAGCAGCAACTGCTAGTGCCATGACAGGGCACTGGGGTCAGCACTGACTGCAAGGGGAGAGCGCCCCCTGCTGGGCCCACACTGCAACACAGCCCTCTTCCTAACCAGCTCACCTTTATCCGCTCGCTTGCTCGCGGTGGGGGTGCTGGCCAGGCGTTTCCTGCGCCCGGCATCCGCTCGAGGAGCCTGCAGGGGGAGGAGAAAGCTGCAGGGTCGTCTCCTCTGGGCTGCCCAGCTGGGTCCCCCCGGCCTGTCCCCGTCCCAGCCAGCGCCACTCTTCAGCCAGCAATTAACAGGGCTATCGGAGACGCTGACTGGGACAGAGTCCTGTTCCCTGCTGACACATTTATTCCCAGGGTGCAGGGGAAACGGGACACCTGGGCTCTGGACCACAGCAAGTCAGCGGCAGAGGTGGGAACAGCCTCCAGCTGTCCTGGCTCCCAGCCCCCCTGCTCTAACCACTAGACCCCACTCCCCTCCCAGAGCTAGGGCTAGAACCCAGGAGTCCTGGCCCCCGTGATCTAACCATGCGACCCCACTCCGCTCCTAGAGCTGAGGATAGACCCCAGGAGTCCAGGCACCCAACCCCTGCTTTAACCACTAGGCCCCTCCCTCATCACAGCCCCTTCCCTTCCCCTCGGTCTCCATTTCCCAGACTCGCCCCGTGCTCTCTGACCTACTCAGGTCATTTAGCACTGAAGGCAGAGGCGCTGCCTTGAGGTAGCTGGGTGGGGTGGGAGACCCCGGCACCCCCCACGGCCCCAGCCTCTCCCAGCCGGCGGCGACTTGGAGCACTGAGCCGGCTTCTTGCAGGAGGGGAAGGGAACCCTTTGTCTCCGCGTGGCCCCACTCTGGCTGGAGCACCCCATGGAGCAGTGAGGAATCATGTCCCCAGCCAGTGGCTCTCAGCAGGGAGAGACCCAGGGGCTCCAGCATGGCCTTTGCCCCCACAGAGAACAGGCCAAGCCGGCCCCGGGGGCAGCCACCTTCGCCTGACACACACGGAGATCTGGAGCAAGATGCCTGCTGCCCGGAGGGCCCCCCCGGCTGCAGCACGGCCCCTCCCCGATCCCCGGCTGCAGCAGTCAGGGCTGGGCCCCGGCTAACCTCCCACCCAGGCTAGTTGAGAGGCGCCCTGACAAAGAACCACTTACCCCGCTGGGGCCGTTCCAGGAGGAGGAACTCAAGGGCTTCCTGCCTCGGGGGGCCCGCCGCCTGCCCCTGCCGAAGAGAGGGAACAAGGCAGCGGTGATGGGGCAGCGCTCCGCCAGTTAGTGCCCTGCAGGCTCGGATCCCTGCTCCCGTGGCTAGCAGGGGTGTGCTATGCTGGAGAGGCCAGGCACTTGTTCTGGGAGCCGTGCCGCTCAGACACCTCCCTATGCGGCACCAGGGCCCCACTGTGGCAGCTCCGGGGTAAGCCAGCTCCCGTGCCCCCAGGCGTCAATCTCTAGTCGCTGGCATCTCCGGAGTCCCCACAGCCACCAGCTCCCACCCCGCAGGAAGGCCTGGCGCACAGAGGACAGGCCCAGCTTCCAAGAGAGGCCTCCAACTGCGGGTGCCCACCCTTGGCGCCCCGAGCGTGGCGTGCACAAGTGCTGAGTGGCCTGCGCTCCAGCCAGAGGCAATGGGAGCTGTGGCTGCTCAATCCTCCAATAATCAGGCCCCAAATCAGAGATCACGTCTCAAAAGTTGGGTCAAAATGACTTGCCGAAGCAAGTAAGTGGCAGAATGGGATAGAATCCAGGTGTCCTGGCTCCCAGCCCCCTGCTCTAACCACTAGATCCCACTCCCCTCCCAGAGCCAGGGAGAGAACCCAGGAGTCCTGGCTCCCAGCCCCCTGCTCTAAGCACTAGATCCCACTCCCCTCCCAGAGCCAGGGAGAGAACCCAGGCGTCCTGGCTCCCAGCCCCCCCGCTCTCCCGTCCCAGTAGAAGATTGTGATTTCGTTACCTTAGGGGTACTGGCTCGGAGTAATCATCTGCCTCGCTGCCCGAGCTTGCTGAAGAGCGCCGGCTGCGGAAGCTCTCCACTGTGGGAGTGGGAGACAGTAAAGGGGAGCTCAGTCCTTGGGGGGGTCCCCAAACCAGCATCCCTGCCCCCCAAACCCTCCCACACACAAACCACCGCACTCCTACAATGACCTCACTGGGGAAGCACGGACTCTCCCAACACCTGCTCCAGCCTTGATCAGCTGGTCCCCGGAGAAGGGATGGCCCAGGGGCTGGGGGACGTGGCCATGGGGCTCCCAGGCAGTGGCAAGCCCAACACAATAACCCACCCCGGAGACATTTCCGGTCCCAGGACGTACCCGACGAGCTGCGTCCGCGACTCCTGCCCAGGCTGTCTCCGCTGAAGGCTGCCAGGCCCCGGGAGTTGGAGCGGCCCCAGCTGCCGGGCGGCGCATCACCGGCGCCACGCCGGACCCGTCGCTGGCTGCGCCCAAGGGAAGAGGGTTATGCACAGAAGCAGGCATCTCGCGACCTGAAGGTTCCTTGCCAAAACAGGCTGCCCGCCCCTGAAACGCAGCCACCTCTTGGGTGCAGCGCAGCAGCAGGCATGCAGCTCGTGGCAGGAAGGGAAGGGACACCACAGGGGGACCGGAGGGAAGCAGGGGACTGGGACCCCGAGGCTGACGCCCCCGCCCTTGCTAAACAGGCCGGGATCCTTAAATGGGCCTTGGGGCTCCAAGATCTCGGTGAGTTTCAGATACCACCTGGCGTTCCTGCCACTGGAGCCGTGTCAATGCCTCCTGATTAACCCTTGTGGCTCCAACACCCTGCCTCCCCAAGGATCGCGGAAGGGCTCAGATTCGGGGGGGGGGGACGTGCCCACCAGGGCGCTGGCAGGAGTCCGCTTCCCAGGCAGCACAGGGGCCACTGAACGCGGCAGCTAGAGGTGGAAACACGTGGCCCCGTACATCCCCCAGGGACACCCTGATCTTCGGGGGGTGGAGGGGAGGAACTTACTTTTTCAGTTCGGCCTCCTTCTGCTTCCGCTCTTTGGCCTTCACAAAGGCCGTGGGGTCGAAGCGCGGCGGCCGGGTGCCTGGGAAAGGGGAGACCGGCAGCGGGGTCAAGGGCGGGGGTTGCTGCTGCCACACCTGGGATCTTCCCCGCCCCTCCAAACTGTTCAGGATTCAGCTGCAGGGACTGGAATGGGGGGGAAGGGGATTGCTACCTCCCTCACATCACTGCATGTGACCAAGGTTCTCACCTTGCCTGGAGACATCTCTGTCGGAGACAGGGCACTCCCACAGTGCTCAAGGCCAACCTAGGGTCCCCAGGCCCTGTGATCTGGGCAGAGAACCTGCCCAATGGCTCCTCTTCTACCCCCTCACCTGTGGGTGATGGTGACTGGCGAGGGAGGCGGGTCTGGCTCCCGCCGCGCCCTTCTCTGGACGTGGAGCGTGGCCGGTTCATCGGCCAGGCCCCGCCACGCTCCCGGGAGTTGGAGCGCTCCCCAGAGGTGGAGCGCCTCTCCTCTCGGGCCATGGCCGCAGCGCTGCTCCGGCCTGGGGCAGCGTGACTGAAGCCGCGGGAGGATGCCGATCGGTTCTGAGGGGATGGGCCGGTGGGGGTCAAGCGCCTGGAAAAACAGGAGGGAGCAGTCAGTCCTGGACGTGAAGGACACAGGGGCCCGTTCGGGTCATCCAATCTGGCCTCCTGCATCACACTGGCCACAGAATCCCCCCAGGTATCCCTGCATCCAGCCCAGATCTGACAGTCGAGCTAGAGCAGAGATGTCCACTGTCTCCAAGCCCCGGAGCACTCCCTATCCCCAACACGGGGTCAGTCGTTCCAATGGTCAATTCCCCTCCCCGTTAAACACTGGCGCCTTATTTCAAGCCTGAATCTGTCTAGCTTCAGCTCCAGCCATTGATCTTGTTCTGCCTTTGTCTGCTGGACTGAAGAGCCTCCGCTCTCAGAAAGTCCCCCTGTGCCACAGGTTCACTGCTCTGTGCCGGCAGCTCTTGCCAGCCCTGACAAACTCACTGCACAGACCAGGTGATCTGTATCTAACTGGTGCCATGGGAGGTACCACTCACAAACTGGTAACACGCTGGCCCTGAAAACCAGGGTGTGGTGGGGGAACGAAGGGTTATCAAAGTGCATTAGAACGTCCCGAAAAGGTGTTTGGCGAGCAATGCGTAAGCCCAATCTGCCCTAAGACAAAGGAACGTGTATTTGTTGTCTGACCAGCCTGGTGGCCAGGCAGAGGCAACACACGTTCATATACATATGAGGTAAACAAAGCTAACGAGCAGGGAGAAGACAGCCTGGCATCTATGCCCCAGCAGAGAAACGGTGTCTGGGCTTACTCTGCGAAGAGCAGGTTCCCAAGGGTTACTGGCTCTAACAAGAGCGGGAGAGAACCTGGGCAGCCAGGCTGAAGGAAGATGGGTGAGAAAACTTCTTGAACAAAGGACTTTAGTTGCTTAAGTTAGACTGAAGTCTTAGAAGCGTATTTTTACTTCTGTTTCTTTGGAACCATTTGTGTCTTTGCCTTATACTTGGTATCACTTAAACCTGTGTCCTTTTCTTAATCCACTTGTTTTACTTTTCCTATAACCCCAGCTCAGAGCTTGGATTGAAACAGAGGGTTTGTTAACCCCAGTAAGGTAACAAGCAGCTGTGTAAGGTTTTGTGAGCATACCAGTAAGGAGGAAAGGGGGCGCTGCAGAGAGACATCTCTGAGGAACCTGGGAATGGGGGTTCACTGGCAGAGCCCGGGTGAGTTTGCTGGCAGGGCAGAGATGCCAGTGTGCCAGGGAGCAAACACAGTTTAGCAGCAGCAAAACTCCCACTTGCTGAGGCCGAGAGGGATAGCACAGTAACTCACAGCTCTGGGAACCCCAGCGGCTCGTCACACCTGCCCAGGGAGGTGCTGACAAATGGGGATTGCGTCACCTCTGAACCGTCTCGGGGATAAACTAAACAGATCCAGCACCTTCCGTCTCATGCTCACAGGCAGGTTTCCCAGCCCTCGGCTCGTTCTCATGGCGCTTTCCGAATCCTGTCTAATTTTTGGATGTGTGGACACCAGAACGGGACCCGTGCTCCAGGGATGGGCTCTCTAATGCTGGATACAGACATAGCACTACCGCCCCACTCCTCCTCAATATCCCCCCGCTTATACCGCCAAGGGTCACGCTCCCCGCTTAGCCCCAGCATCGCCCTGAGAGTTCCTGGTTAGCTGGTTCCCACCATGGCCCCTTGATGCTTTTCAGGGTGACTGCTTTCCAGGACACAATCCCCCAGCTCACAAGCGTGACCTACATTCTGTGTCCCTAGGTGCCATCAAAAAGATGCAACCACGAGGGCTGGCTCTGCCCTGCAGAAGCCCCACTGACCCTTCAAGACGGCCGTGGGTAAGGACTGATGTCCACCATCCTCCTTCCCCTGTCCCCTACCAGGAGATCTCAAGTTTCAGGACATATTACGATCCCTGCAGAGTGCGGGAAGGAATCTTCCAGCATTACCCAATTAGCCAGATGCATTATGGGGGTTTGAGCCTTCCTCTGTAGTATCAGCGATCCGCCAATACCAGGGGACCAGTATTTTAAGACCAATGGGCAAAACCTGGGCTCAAGTGTCAACAGAGGGGCCGGGATCCTTAGACAGGTGAATGAAAAGCATCTGCTTCAACCCCGCCTAGAGTACTGATCCAGCCTACAGCAGCTGGCATCCCTCACCCTTTCTTGTATAAGGCCAGCTCATTGGTCAGACTCTTCACTCGGACACGGAGGCTCCTCTCCGATGCTTTCACCTCCGCCAGCTGCAAGGAAGGGGAAGAAATCTCACTGCTTCAGTGGCCGGACATGCTCTGGAACGGGCCCAGGAAATCGACCCAGCAGACAGTCTTGCAGCCCAGCCAGACAATGGAATCTGGGCAGGGCTACATAACTGCCAGCAACATTCCCCTTCACTTCCTGACCTCAACTGGGGTGCCATGGTGTTGTGTTAAACAGCTGCCATGTTCCACCCCAGAGGTGGCTGCATTTCAGGGGTGGGCAAGTGAGCCCTGTATAGAGAGCCAAGGGCTTTGGGATCTTCGGGTGTACGGTGCTATGTAAGATCTCAGGGTAATAATTATTACTAAGGCTGTCAAACGATTACAAAAATTAATCGCAGTTTTAATCCCACTGTTAAACAATAATAGAATACCACTTATTTCAATATCTGTGGATGTTTTCTACACTTTCAAATATATAGATTTCAGTTCCAACCCAGAATACAAAGTGCTCACTTGATATTATTTTTGATTACAAATATTTGCACTGTAAAAAAAATAATCCCAGCCCCCCTGCTCTAACCCCACTTCCCTCCCGGAGCTGGAGCT